AGACAGACAGACAGAGAAGGGGGGGGAGGAGAGAGGGGGGGAGAGAAATTGAGAGACAGATATTAAATATGCAGGAGGGTTACTGTGTAATGTTGGCTGAGTGCGAATCCCCTTCCAGCCTGATTTATAGATTCAGTATGTTGTGTTGAGGAGAAGCTAGATTCTATGGCATTGTGCTGCCTACAGTGATGCCTATTCTCCAAACCGAGCGAGTAAATAAGTTCTTTTCACTCTCTATATCGTTCATCTATTTTATGCAACATGGCATGTATTATTAATTTTTGTTCTTATTTTAATAACATCATTGTTGATTTTTCTTTTCAAGTCATTGACAAAAATATTTTACATCTTTGTTGTTTGTTCTTTGTTTGTTTTTTTGTATTTCACATAACAAAATGAGTAGTATAGACATATAGCTTTTTGTTTTAAATGCAAAATATATCTATGAATAATATATAATGTACTTACTAACTTGTTTGCAAGGACAAATAAAGATACGTCTGAACAATAATGTGCATATTGTTTTCTTCTCTCGCTTAGTGGGTGTTTAGCGGGTGCTCTGGATTGGTTTTCTCCTTCGTTCCTATCCAACATCAATCATCCTTATCTCCCCTCCTTCTTTTTTGCGTTTTTTACTCTCTTGTAACACCTCTAATCTTTGGCACTTATATGACCTATTGTGTTGCAAGTGCCGTAAAACTCTTACTAAAACTAAACTCTCGCTGTCTCAAGTGGTATTTGTCCTGTAATTTAAGGTATCAGGATGCTAGAACCCGCTTTATTAAAACTGTTTGTCTACTATTTAACATATTATTTTTACATATTAACCTTTATCTCTAGCCCACGAGGGCCCCGAAAAATGTTTGAATGTCGAAAATAAATTGAATAAGTGAACGAACTAGGCTTCCAATATAGCCGCCGATGACAAAATGTATGCAGGTTATTTGAAAGACTGTATCCAGGGTGCTCTCGTGGTCTAAAGGTTAGGGTGTTCGCCTCTCATTCAAAGGTTCCCGGGTTCGAATCCTAACAGCGACGGAAAATCTTCTCTAAAAATAAAAATCTCCCTTCACCTTCTTTCCTGCTCTTTAAGCATGTTCTGTCGTCTTCTTTCGTCTCCAGTTTCTGTGTCCCCTCCCCCCTTGCCCTTGCCCCCTTCCTCTGGGCTCTTGACTCTCTCTGTTGTCTTTCTGCTGCTACTCCTTGGCTCCTTCAAACAGCTGTCTTTCAGCCACACCTCTGATCTTAGGATAGGTAAGATGGAACACTAACTTTCTCGGATGAGAGCAGATAATAATCGGCGGCTCTCGTGGCTTAGAGGTTAAGGTGTTCGCCTCTCATTCATGAGTCCTGGGTTCGAATCTGGGTAATTACGGAAAAAATTTATTCTCTAAAATTCTCTTTTTTCAACTTCTTTCTTGCTCTCTTGCAAGGTTCTGTCGTCTGCTTTTGTCTCCACTTTCTGCCCCCACCCCCTTTGCCCCCTCCTCCTGGCTCCTGACTCTTTCTAATCCTTTCTACTGCTACTCCTCGTCTCCTTCTTACTGCTGTTTTTCAGTCACACCCCTGATCTTATGGTACAAAAGACCTACACCTACCCTTCTTAGACAAGTGCGAAAACTCTCGGAGGTTCCGTGTGCAAATTGCGCACGTTAAAGATCCCATTCAATAAGAATAGGCTTCAGCCACCACCCGGGCAAAATTCAAAATTTTCTACGAACTGAAAATTTGTAATGTGTTCCGCGCGCGCTCATATGACCTTATGCAGTTGCGAGCGCCGTAAAACTCTTACCAAAAAAAAGGATAAAAATCTGGGAGGTCCCGTGTGCAAGTTGCGCACGTTAAAATCCCTTGGTGGTCCTAAAATCGATAAGAGTAGACTTCGACCGCCACCCAGGCAGATTCAAAAATAATTCCTACCAAACTGAAAATGCTCTTATGACCTTATGCAGTTACGTGCGCCGTAAAATACTTTCCCAAAAAAGACTGTATCTCAAAAACCTGTTAGAATTTGTTTTTGCATAGCTTAAAACTTTCAGGAAATATTCTTGAATGCCCACTTCATGACAATGTCCTAAACCTACTCATACTAAAGTAGCTACTGGGACAAAATTGTGCGTTTTGTTTTGTTTTAGTAAGGTTTTACGGCACTTGCAAAATCATAAGGTCATATGAGCGCCAAGAGGTAGATGTCAACACAGAAGTCCAAACGGGGAATAAGGCTTACTCTGCTCACCTCTCTAGCCTCAACAGCACAAAGTCTGCTTCGACTATCAAGGCACCCAGAAAATAGCAGTTCCCAAAAGAGTGACAAACAAACAAAAAATGTAGAGGAAAACAGACGATAGTAAGGATGAGGAAAGAAAAAGCAGCAGTTCTCCCATGTTGTTCCGGCACAGTGTGAGCATGACATTGATAAATAATCCCATTTACAATTCTACTCTGCATAGGAACATGTTAATATTCCCCCTTTGTGAATGGCCGAAAGACAACTTCAGTCATTAGCAGTGCCCTAATTATGTATGCAAGAATCAAATATAAAGAACAGTTTTCAAGACGGAGCCCTCTTTACGTTTAGAAATTGCACCATTTTCTCGAGAATATGTGTGCAAAAGTGTACATGGGTATCTTGAACAAAAAGGATTTATTTGGTTTGTACTAACTGGTATGTAAGCCAAAATATCGTTTTTAGAAACCAGACAAAAACAAGAACAAAATGTATCGACATTGATATTACAGACACATTTTAGGTAGTAAGGTACTTTAAGAGTGTGCAGTGCACAGTATTCATACTTTGGATGGTTTCTGTTTGGAAGAGTTCTTTTTTTAAAGTATTTATTCGCCTTTTACTTTTCAAATTGGTGTTGTATGTGGGAAATACCATTGAAAACAAACTGTTGTCAAGAATTGATATGAGTATGCAAAAACGTTTATGTACTAAAAACG